TAGGGGATATCTGCGATAAGCAATCGTGGGCGGAGTTGAGGTGCAAGTGAGCTAAGGTAAGGTACCTGGCTGTTGGCAATGGCGGCGGGTGGTGTACCTCGATATGGCGGGGAAGATGGAGGTGAGGCGTTGTGTGCTGCTTCGATGCAGGCCTCCAGATCGAACAAGAACCGAGAATATTAACTAGGTAGGTAGGTGGGAAAGGAAGGAAAAGGAAGTGCACCAGATTCATAGAGATCAGACACGCAATGGCCAATCCAATCTTTGTACGTGTGTGTATGTACAACCACCCTCTGGGCTCGAATGTTACATACAGCAGAACGTTGGGCAGATGGGAGAACACCCTCAGCCGGGTATGAGACCGTGTGTACCTACTACGTTTGCGCTGCGCTATTCCACGCCACGCTACGGCTCAAGTCCAGTGCACAGGCAATTCTCCTTTGTCGCCACGGCACCAACTCAGGCTCCAGTTGCGGGCAGGGGAGAGCACGAGCAGGGATGGGCTGAGCAAGGATGAATGGTAGAGGGAGAATGTGCCAAGAAAGGGTCTTTTCTTCCCTTCCTACCTTATTTCCTCGTACTTGGTCTGGCGAGCGGCTCCTCTGTCGTATAGGACGAATTGCATATAACGAAGGATGAGAAAGCGATGTGGCTGATTGGATCACGGAATACAGATAGTCGACAAGGGAGATGGTAAAGTGAGTACCTACTAGGCACTAACAATACCGAGTCAACACCAAATACCAAGGACAAAGTGTTACTGTAGAGGATGGAACAGATCGAAGGGGAAATAGAAAGATGAGGTCAGAAAAGAGAGGGGAGGTGAATTTGTGACAGGCCGGGTATGTGTGCCTGACTTTGCTGAAGTTCCCATGAGCGATGATCCAGGGGAGTTTCAGAGTCACAGGGATCAACATCAAAGGGCAGCAAGTGAGTGGTCCCTGGTTAGGTAGTTCGGGGGCCAAGTCAAGACCAAGTTACCTGGCAACAGTCAAATCAAGATCCATAGCGAACATTCATCATCAACACGACAATTGCGGTACACGAGTTATTTAACGCGCTTCGCAAACGTAAAATCTGGGAATCGCCAACGTGCGGGTAATAGGTACTACTAAGGTACTTTACTGATATATATGGACTGTCGAGGTATTCTCTCTCCAACGCCGTCCGTAAGGCACGATACTTCGATAGTGTCAGCTCCGGTCAATCTTTGCCGTGTACTCCGTACCGCACAATGAACGAGATCTTACAATGACGAAGCTTGGGCATATCGACATAATTACTAGTAACATACGAATAATGGCTCTCGCCACAAATTACCCTGCCAGACCACCTGACTCCCCCTTCAGAGCCATCATGCTATCATCCTGGATACTGGAGATTGTGAAGGTGCAGAACGAGACCCTTAATTCGATTTCCCCATCCACTCCAGACTCATCAGCCTCCACTCACACTCATTAGGCACTTGGTGTCGACCGTGTTAGTGGCAGATCGACCTTTGACTGCGCAAGCTGTTCATTGCTGTGCCGAGAGTGATGACGAGACCGTTTCCCTTGTGAAGATTCCAATGTGTAGCAGATCTGCCCTCGCAGCGCTTCCCGATTCGGTAGCCTCCCTCGTGTCTGAAGGACATATAGGGCTTTGTCCGCGTGTGGTCCGAAAGTTCGAGGATCAAACCCCTAACTAAACCTCTAGGGATAAGTGCGCAATGGTGGCTTGTGAGTGCCGGGCTGAAACACACAGGTCCCCTCAGACTATCGGCTACGGCCGTGGCCCGTTATTCCACCGTCCAGAACATCGGAACGTCCAATGTTTGGTATACAGTAATATAGTTACATTTACCTACTAAAGCTTGACTGGATATGTCGCAACTCTCACAATGTTTCCCTTCACTTGTCAAAATATCTCACTGTTGCTTCGTCTTGGGGAACATTCTTATCTACCCCTTAATGTTTCTCCTCATCAAATCTCTCGAATCGGATCTTGTTTGTACTAGCTTAGCTCAGGTAAGGTCTTGCAGGCGTTGAATCAAATCCTGCCCGTAAGTACATACTCGGAGACTACATAGAGACTAGTGCTGTACTAACTTTAGCATCTCCCGCGGGTGGTTGGATTGGATGGAACGTGGGGCTGGGCTCTTGGAGGCCCCTCTGCTGTGTATGTATGATTCATATCCGCTCCTTCATCGAGTTCTAATCTCTTCTCAAGACTTTGTATACGACATAGGACCTTGGTAGGTACTCTGTTGCCGGTTGAGGGATACGTATGTATGCGCTAGCGTACTATGTGACTTGATCTAATAGGTAGGAACTTTATAGTTGTGTAGCGATTCAAGGCATGATGAGATCGTGAAGTGAATGGGAGCCATGGCAATATCGTATTGATTCATTTCGAGTCCCAGTCGCTCACTTACTCCCTCTCCATACTACCTAGTAACTTGTTCGCATGCGGTTCTCGTATATCGTTAGCTTCCCAATTTCTCCGCGACGATAAATAGCAGCTCTTCAAGCGTCACTCCGAGCCGAGGCGGTTCTCTTTTTAGACCTCGTATTGCAGACTGTGTCCACAAAGCTTATGTCCAGCAGGAGTGTGCTACATGCTCCCTGTCAGAGTACGTGCATCGATGGCATGGCGCCTGAAGTGATATTGCATTGCCAATACATTTCTCAGCGAAGAAACCGCGATAATACAGTATAATCAAGCAATGTTTGGTATGAATGCAGATATGCAATTCCAACTCGGTGGAGTCTGATCTAAGACCAAGTAAACAACAAACCAAATGAACTTGTCTCCCTGTGGGACTCTCAATCTATCAGCCTTGGCCGTGGGATTTGTGTCCATGTGTGTGAGAGAGAAATAAATACATTGGTCAAAGTCAAGGTTTCTGACCAGACTCTCCTGAAACGTGTAGAGAGATGAATCTGTATGCGTGACCTTGCATGCGATGGTTCGCCGTCGAGATAGATTCGATAATCAAACACATCAAATGCCCCATGCTGATACATCTTTGCCCGCGATTCACGCTTGGATATAGCAATATCTAACATTTGCATGTCCCAATAACATGGTCATCATATATTTCAGTCCGCGAAAGTCTCTTATTACGTGGATCATCGTTCTCATCAGCCCTCGATTTAGGTTAAGCCAGGTTGCGCATGCTCCCAGGGACAGATAGGCTATGTGTGATCTTATCGATAAGAAAGCATTTTGATGACTAACAACAATCGCCTCCATTCACATTCTGTAAAGAATTTATACAGCTAGTCACTGTCCCAAGCGGCAGAAGGATGTAAACGGTTGCCAACCAGGCATGCTCACGCAGATAATTCGACGAACCATGGCTACAGAAGTCAAGCGAGTACCCATTCCCCGACGGGGTGTAGATTACCGTGGCAAGGTTGTTCTTGCGCCTATGGTTCGCTCAGGAGAGCTTCCATCAAGACTTTTGGCTCTCAAGTATGGCGCAGATCTCGTCTGGGGTGAGATGCACAGCAAAAATATGTCAAGATATCATTTTCTAACTTCAGCCGACAGGTCCTGAAACTGTGGATTACTCTATGATTGGAACTTGTCGTCGATTTGATGAAGACTCAAAAACGATAGAGTGGTATCGTCTCTCATCCCATGGCCAGAAGGACCCTCCTCCGGATGCCAAGGAGAGCATAATTTACAGAATGCTGCCAGAGGTTGAAAAAGACAAGCTTGTCTTCCAAATCGGCACATCAGATCCCGATCGTGCAGTAGCAGCCGCTAGGCTGGTGGCCGCAGATGTTGCCGGCATTGATGTCAACGCTGGTTGCCCAAAGCCCTTCAGCACTAGCGGGGGAATGGGTGCCGCTCTTCTCAAGACTCCAGATAAACTGTGCGCTATTCTTGAAGCTCTTGTTGAAAACATTACCCCTGAATTTGAGATTGGAATAAGCGTTAAGATCAGACTCCTCGACACTGCGGCGGAAACAGAGGCGCTCGTCCGCCGTCTTTGTGCGACAGGCATTACAGGACTAACCATCCATTGCCGGACGACACCTATGAGGCCCAGAGAGCGGGCTATTAGAGGGCAACTCCGTATGATTGCGCAAGTCTGCCATGAGTATGGTGTTGCCTGCTTGATGAACGGCGACGTTGAGAATAGGGACCAAGGTCTCCAGCTCGCCAAAGAGTTCGGTGCGGACGGTGCAATGATTGCAGTTGCGGCTGAGAAGAACCCAAGCTGCTTCAGGAGTGTAGCAGATGGCGGACTGGCACCCTGGGAAGAAGTTGTCGATCATTATGTGAAGACTGCGATTGATGTTGACAACCGGTTCGGTAACACCAAGTTCCTGCTCTCAAACATGGTCCCTGGAAAGTCAAAATCTTATCAGCCAATGAACCAGTCCAAGAATTATAAGAGCATCTGCGAGGCGCTATCACTCGAAAAACACCTCGAGTCTGCTCGTATTATAGATAGCAAGCGAGGGCTGGATCAGCCCCTGCAGGGGAAAGCTGCAGAGAAGGCCGCAAAGAGGGCTGCAAAAAGGGCCAACGCACAGGCCAATTCACTGCCGGTGAAGTCAGAAGAAGAAAATGAACAGAAGCGCAAGCGGAGGATGTCTGATAACAGACCCGTGAAGCAGTTGAAGACATCTGAACCTGCACCAATTGCAACGGCTGTTTAGGAAAAGGGTCAGTTCAACAGTACAAAGGTTAGGAAATGACAAGGGGCGTACGGTTGAATTAGAAACCTTGAGTTCGCATTACATGGAGTTGAGGACAGAGGCTCAGAGGGCAAGAGTTTGGGAACAGAGCACATAGAAAGCTACCGCATCATTAGGTCATGAAGCAATAACGGCGGCAAGGAATGTTTTTCTTTTTCATGCAAAAAAGGAAAGGAAGCCCAGCCTATTCAAAATACATACAGTTATTGGTAGCTGGCACTAAGGACCGGCCATTGATACAAATGAACAGTTTTTGGGAACTCTATTTAATAGTACATCTCATTTCATCTCGCTTTTTGAAATCCTTTATTTGCCCTTCTGGACCCAGCCCTCAACAGCCTCTCGTGCATCTGTCACTTTTTCATCTACATAACGGACACCAACCTGGCTATGCGCCTTGGCAAAGCTGACGCTGTTTACGATACTCTCGCGCAGGCGGATGTGAGACTCGGCAATAACAGGGAACCTCTGCTCGTACTTCCAGGTCAGGTCGGAGATGTTGCGCATGGTGACAGGGAGAACGGTCCAGCCAGCGCCAATACCCAGGGCGAGGGGGAGCGAAGCGCGAAGGATAATGCTGCGATTGCGAGTAATGATACTGCCGGCCATAGCAGCAACCAGAACGTAAATGGCACCGGGCATAAGTTGCTCGCCGCTTTCACGGGAGGGAGCCAGTGAAGCGATGGTACTGGTGAAGGATTGCTCGAGATTGAAGGCTGAATCCATGGTCTCGTTGACCTTGTTCTCAGCAGCTACTGCGTACTTGTAGAGAGCCAGGCGACCTCTACCGATATGGACGGCCAGCCGCTCAGTAGGAGTAGGCGAGTGATGCCTCTCCTCGTCGTCGACCGGCTCAACGGGCGTCGCAGCAACTGGTGGTGGTGTTACAGGTGCGGGATTTGCTGTCGGGATATCATAATCGTCGTAGATGGGTTTCCGCTATAGGGCTATTAGGGAATATTATTTAAGTCCATTGATGCTCCATGACAAACCTTGAAGTCGCTGGAACCTTCGGCGAAAACAGTAGCCGGAGCCAGTGCCATGCCGCCGAGGGCCATGGCCGCCAGTGGTGCCAGGGAGCGCTATACAGATCAATTAGCATGAAGGGGCTTATCTAGAGCTAGGAAGTATTACTGACCCGCGAGAACACCACTCGTGAAGCCATTGTGCGCTCAATTGACGAGTGAGTGGGTGAGAAAGACGTCACGCGAATTCAAGATGGACGTCGGAGGCTCGTGAGCACAATCACCACTGTCGGAAAATCTAGGATGGGGGCTCCACTGGACCACTCAGAGTTCAGCTTGGGGACGTTGACTGGATGACTAAGATTTCCAATCCCAGTGCAGGAAGGCACAAATCAACCTACTAACCTACGTTACCTTGGGTACCTAGGTAGGTAGGCTCCACTGCTAACTACCTACCTATGGGCGGAAATGCCCTGCTAAAACAAGGAAGGCGACAACCTAGGGACGGATCCGAAGCCGGAAAGCCCGACAAGGCAGGAAAGTCGCTTCTGAAGGTCTTCCCCGATATCTCTGATTCTCGATTCAAAGTACCTAAGGTAAAGAATATTAAGCATACCTGAGGTATAATATCCCAGCCGTGTTTTCATTCCAACTTCTGCTACTCTTTCCCGCCATTGAGAGAGAATACAGGATCACCGTATCACTTCGATTGCTGTTGGATCATTCATGGGTTCGATCCTCTTATCTGCATATTTATAATGCTGAGTTCGAGGGGCAACCGCCTCTGGATCTGTAATAGATGTGTTCGACACACGAGCAGCCCTCCACAACGGCGATGGAACTCTATTGCCTCCGCGGTAGCCCAGGCTATCTCCCCAAGCACACCGGTCGATCATACCGCGAGCACGAATCACGATGATACTGTTTTACGCAACTTATTCGACGCCCCCACGGGCAGAACTTTCCCCAAGTTCAGCTTGAAGAAGAGCCAAGGTCTCTTCAAGAATCGATACCTTACCAGCCCTGATGGCTTCCAACATTTCGCTCAGAAGAACCTTGAACGGGCAAAAAATATCGTTAATAAAGTTCTCAGTGCATCCTCTGTACATGAATACCGTGCGGTTGTCCGCGACCTTGATCGGCTTAGCGACCTATTATGCCGTGTACTGGACCTCGCAGATTTCGTTCGTATGACGCATCCAGATGGCCGGTTCCAGGAAGCGGCTGCCAACGCATGGGGTATGGTATATCAGTACATGAACCAGCTTAATACCATGACTGGCCTCAGTGATCAGTTAAGTCAGGCGCTATCTATCCCCGAAGTTACAAAGGTGTGGTCGGAAGAAGAGAGAACTGTGGCTTTACAGCTCAAGTTGGACTTTATGAAATCTGCTGTAAATTTGCCAAAGGCTTCACGAGACAGATTCGTGGATTTGTCCTCGCGTATCAGCGAAATAGGGTCAGCTTTTGCACAGGGAATGCAGCCAGCAAGAAAACAAATTACCCTTCCGGCTTATAAGTTCTATGGCCTCTACCCAGGCATCGCAGCCACGCTCAGAGTACGCCAAAACATCACGCTACCAACTCTGAGCTCAGATGCAATTGGAGCACTTCAAAGTGTGCATGACGAGGAGACTCGCAAAGAAATCTACCTGGCCCAACGAACCGCTTCTCGGGAGACTGTTATGTACCTTGAGGCAATGTTGAAGTTGAGAGGTGAGCTCGCAGAGCTTGCAGGTTTCGAAAGTTATGGTCACATGGCCCTAAAGGACCGCATGATGGCCAAGACTCCTGCGTCTGTAATGGAGTTTCTCCTTGCTCTAAGAAATAACAACACACCGGTAGTCCAGGCCGAACTGCAAGAACTGGTTTTGAAGAAACGAGACAGACTCAACCTTCCAGATGTCCCACTCCAAGCCTGGGACAAGGATTTTTATATGGATAAGATCAGAGTTGACCTTAGGTCTCGACAGCGGCAAGAAGATCAGCTCAACGCATTTTTTTCTGTTGGGACTGTCATACAAGGCCTATCAAGACTCTTTGATAGGCTTTATGGTATCCGTCTTGTGTTGCGGGAGACTCTTCCTGGTGAGACATGGCACCCTGAGGTGAAACGACTTGATGTTGTCACTGATAAGGGGGAACTAATTGCTGTTCTCTACTGCGATTTGTTTCATCGTCCACAAAAGTCCGGCAATCCCGCACATTTTACAGTCAGATGTTCTCGGGAGATCCTCCCTGAGGAAGTAGCAGAAGTCGCTGCTGATTATGACAGCACTGGGCCAAGTTTCGAATCACTCGAGATGGCAGCCAACGATGGCATGGAGACTTCCTCCGCGGACGGTGTACTGAAGCAGCTGCCCACTATTGCACTCGTCTGTGATTTTCAGCCAAGTGGGAACTCTAAGGAGCCCTCTTTGCTATCCTACCAGTCTGTCGAGACCCTTTTCCACGAGATGGGCCATGCTATTCACTCTATACTTGCACGAACTAGCTTCCAGAATGTCTCCGGGACTCGTTGTGCGACTGACTTTGCTGAGCTACCATCGACACTTATGGAGCACTTCGCTGCTGATCCTACTGTCCTATCTCTCTTTGCACGTCACTGGAAGTCGGACCGGCCTTTACCTTACGAACTCGTTGCTGAGAGAATCCGGTTGACTAAGCGATTCGAAGGCTTGGAAACAGAGAACCAGATCATTCTTGCAATGGTAGACCAAGCCTACCATGCCTCAACAATGCGGGATGCAGAGTTTGACTCGACCGCTGTTTTCCATGATATCAAGGCTCGCTTTGCCCATGGACCTCGAGATCCGCCAAATACTTGCTGGCAGGGGTTCTTTGGTCACCTGCATAGTTACGGAAGTACCTACTATAGTTATCTCTTTGACCGTGTACTCGCCGAGCGTGTTTGGCGTGTTGTTTTCAAGGCTGGTGAGAATGGAGGTGCCATCAATCGCGAAAACGGAGAGCAGTTGAAGGAGAACCTGCTAAAATGGGGAGGCGGCAGGGACCCCTGGACTTGTCTCGCCGACACGCTTCAGGATGAAAGACTCGCATCTGGTGACGAGAAATCCATGGCCTTGGTTGGGAGCTGGGGAATAAAGGATGACTACCACCCATAGGAACATAGAAATCATATACGAAGCATCAAAAGTAATCAAGTAGATCAAAGCATGCAGATGCAAATAGGCCTTCATACGCAGTGCAAGACAAGTAGAGACATGAATTCGTACCAGAATGGCAGTGGCAGTGGCAGTGGCAGTGGCAATAGCAATGGCAATGGGTAGCCATGGTTCTCGGTTTATTATTCTCAAAGATGACTTTCAATCGCTAATTCAAAAGTGAAGTGCCGTTTTTGCCCCAAAGTTCCTAGTACGCCAACCTGTGACACCCAGAACTGGGTACCTTAGGTATCCAATGCAGAATGAAAGGAAAAAAAAAAAAAGCAGAAACAGAAACAATAGCACGCCACACGTTTCAAAGCGCTGCGCTATGTCTATCGAGACGCCGGTTGTGAAAGAGTAGATATGACAAGTAAATATGGGAAGGTAATGAATGAGTGTGGCGTGATGAGGAAGAAGGCGGTCGTCGTAGAGAGGTCATAAGTCATATGCCACCAAATATCGTGCAACTCAGGTAGGTATTCTTGGATAGAAGAGACATGATGTGTGATCGGGTATGTTACTTTTTGGAGTGTCTCGATGGTGCAACGTTCTCTGTGGAGAGGCGTCACTGGTTATATCACCCGATGAACCTGCTGTGAAGACTTCTGGGTGCCCCGACCCATGGTGAGTTGTGACAGGGAAAGGGTTCGTGCGGCCTTGGTTTGCGCCAGGTCTTCCCTGTCCAGGTCTTCACCGAACGCTCCAAAGCTATGTCCCTCTTCACGAGGGGTTTCAAAAGTATCAGAGTATTCGCTCTCGTCTCCATGGCCAGTTCCAATACCCGAGTCCTCGGGGTCGATATGTCGATTTTGCGATCTTGTCATGATGGCCAAGGATGCGAGATTATCGTCGTCATCGTCGTGGTCAAACGCAGACCTGTCACCGAAGGATTTGGCTGTTGGAGGCGGATCGAATCCACTATTCGTGTTTACCGAATGAGACAAGATGCTGAGTTGGTGGCCAAGCGTCTTGACCTGAGTCTCTAGAGCTTCTCGTGCTGAGCGTTCGGTATGAATCAGGGCAAGGAGTGTTGTATAGTGGTCCATGGTGAAGATCTCGGGGATGTTCTTAAGAAGGCTTGGGAGACTAGCTGCACCACGAATTGTTGCGGTCGAGGTGGGACGGTCTTTGTTACTGTCGCTCAGAATAGCCGAAGAATGCGGATCAAGCAACACACTTCCCCTCTGGCCTGTTTTTGAATAATTCGGGTAGCCGCTGGAACGACCGAAGCTCTTCCTATGGTCCCATCTGCTTGGATCAGCCTGATGACCTGGGAAATCCATTGTGACTTGGCCCCCAATCGGAATTGGGGGCGCAGGTCGATCTGGTCCCTGGTGTGACTGCCGGCCTGGAGCAGCATCACACATTCGGTCGAGAGCCTGCTCCAACCGATAGACTCGAGATTCGAGATTGCTTATGCGGGTTTCCAGGTTTGCTGCATGTGTGATTTTCATACCTCCCACCTCCTTCATGTCTGCGAAGGATCCAAAATTGAAAGGCTCTGCCTGTGTTTGTTTTGGAGCGTCTTCTTGTTGCTGGGCCTGTTCGATTTCTTCTATGGCGATGCCTTCTCCTTCAGCGGGGTCTGAAGACACTGGGGACATGAAGGTCGGGTCGTAACTCTCCCTCCAGTATTTGATCTCATCACTGCGTCGACGAGCATGGCCATGGCTTTCATCTGGTAGCCCCGATAAGCTCCGCGATCTTCGGCGGACGCCCGGGAGGTCGCTGGTGATTGCACGGCCAATCTCGTGAGCGTTGTCGTCGCTCTGATCTTGCCGACTCTCTCGGCCATGGCTGCTAGCAGGCCGCGGTGAAAGGCCCGCCAAGTTGTACTCGCGCAATCTGGTTGCACTTAACCGGGCGTGCGATAGACCAAAGTCAGCGCTCAACGAGTTGCGTGCGCTCTCGATGGCGCGAACATCTTCTGGACGGATAGAGTGGGATCTCAACGCCCGATCAAATTCAGTGATGGGCAGGGAAGCTGATCGCTTGGATTCCGCTCCTGGAAAAGGTCGAGTCCGTGACCTGGGAGCTGACCTGTCTCTATGGCTTAAACTAGGCACCGAGTCTTGGCCATCTTCACCCGTTGATCGACGGTATGGCCCGGGGCGCATTGGCGTGGAACCGGTTTCTGAATCAGTATTGTTGGAACTGTCGTTGCCGCTTGATTTCTTTTTTCGATTGAAAAGCTTCCCCAAAGCGCCCCGGAGAGTTGACTGCTTGCGTTGAGGGCGCTCCTTGTCCCTCGTGTCCGCGCTGACGAAAGAATGCCGCACATTGCTAGATGGTTCAGCCTTTTGCAAGCGACTTATTGTGCCGGGCTGTCGAGCATGCAAAGAGGACCTCGGCTCTTCCCTGAAAGAGTGAGGTCCATTCCGACGAGGCTCCGGGAACGTGGGAGATCTGAAATCGTTGTGCGACGGGGTGGGCTCAGTGGTCTGAGATTCTTTGAATTCACCCTGGACAGGCGTAGCCATGTTGGTTCCTGGGTTGCGAATTGGGAACTCGTCATCCAAAGAAGTCGAAATAGGGACAGGCCCAGATATCCTGCCGCGGATATTGGACTGCTGTATATCAACAGGTTGAGCAGTGGGAGCAGTGGTGGCTGCTGATCTCCACGGCTTCTTCATGTTGGAAACGTCAAGGAGGACAGCAAGCGGCGGATCGAAGAGAGAAGTGAAAAGATGACAAAAAGGGTCTTAAGCGAAGGTAGCAGAATGGAATGCCCGAGTAAAAGCGGTCAGAGATAGATAGATACTGTAGATGGATGACATGCCCTGGCGCATATTCGTGAAGGAGTGCTCGTAAAACAGGCTCACAACCAACCCGTGCGCTCATCTATACAAGGGCAGCCTGGCCTCTCATCCGGTTGATGAGCTTGGGTTGTTTGCGCTCAAGGGCGCATTAAGACACGGCGTGAAACAGCCAAACGAGTGTGAGAAGAAAGGAGGGAGTTGATCGGTCGACAGCTTCTGGCATCGCGGGCCTAGGAAGACAAAAAAAGAAGTCGCCCTTGCCGTCTGAGAAGGGCGAGCAGGAATCCAGGGACTGGAGAGCAGGAAGAATGGAAGGGAGGACAAGAGGGTTTTGAAACAAATGCATACATACAGTACCGTACCGTACCATGCCATGCCATACAGTACAGTATTACACTTGGGCTTGGAGCGGTCCGAGTGGGTGGGCGGCTGGCACCTATTAATGTCGGCTCAGATACACCGTACATACCTACATACTAGACACATAGTTAGACATGAGACGCACGCCATGCGAAACTGCGCTTGATGGTGCGGGACAGGGACCATTTGCGGGTTCTTGAAGCGCGACGAGACGTTCAATGCCACGCTGGATGACAAGGAGCCCAGGACGAAGGGGGACCCTTGTCAGCTTGACATGCCTTATGTACAAGGGTCCTGACGGGGGAGGGGGACAGTACCTACAGTCCACTGGATCAGTTAGATACCTACTAGGTAAGGTAGGTAGCGTCTGTCTGGAAGACCCAGCAGTGGATTGGATCAGGGTAGGGCGATGGTGATGAATGGACAAGCCGTTTGGATTCGCAGTGCTCTCAAACGTTGCGTGGAGGGAACCGCCTGCCACGTGTGCCGTGTATGTATGTATGTATAATAACAAGGCAACCTGAGAGCCAACAGAATCGATCTCGAGAGCTCTTTGGTATTAGACTACCCTGCCTTAGTTAGGTAGACAGGGGTTTGTTCACCTGCACCTGTTGTTGCACCCTCTCTCTTGCAGACCCTTGTCGAGCAGACGGACGAAGCAGAATTGAGAACAACGGGCATACATAAGTAGGTACATAATTACCACGCATACCTTTAGTACCTAGGACTCGGGGTGATGCACCCTCCGCTGAGAACCCTGGACATGACATTTCAGTTGAAGCGATAAGAAAAGACAAGACAAGACAAGACAAGGGTGATGCCTCAAGATCGAAACGCACGAGCGAGCCCATCAAGACGACAAGACTGTCGTTGCCAAGAATGGGTGCTGAATTCCATTGGCTAGGTAGGGATGGAACACGACATTGGTCTCGATAGAGTGAGTAGAGGCTTGAAGGTCTGGGATCTGGGTACCTACCTACCTACCCGGGTGAGGGGGGGTCTGGGTCAGAGTGCTGGTAGTCTGTTGACAGGAAATTTGACCTCCCTAAGACCTGCTATTTTTATATAGTAAAGCCATTATACTAATAGATATAGGATTTTTAAGAGAGATAGATTTTAGATCTATTAGTCTATTATAAATCTGTTATTTCTGTTGTTATTCTATTAATCCTAAAATCTGTTATTTAAAGTAATAATGCCTTCTTTTAAAGTGCAATATTATTATGCCAGAAGGCACAGCTGACCCAGACCCCCCCTCACCCGGGTAGGTATCTTGCCTCGTGGCTCGAGGCCGGGTACAGGGCATTCCGGGGCATTGTTGAGACAGGGGGCTCCCTGTATGTATGTTTCTCTCGCCTAGTACTCCGTATACATACCTACTTGGAGTGCCTCCACTACCTTTAGCTGCGGAATGTCTGCATACAAAAACGGCACAGCAGAAGTGAGCAGGTTTACAATGTTACCTCAGTAGAGAGCAAGACGATAGATCGGCTACTACTCAACTAACGTCGGTGGTTATTGGTTTTGCCAGACCATCGTGCCACTCACACTCACTGCTTGGGGCTGCGTTGCAATTTGAGCGGCACGCGCCGCCTCCTAACTAAAATAACAAGAGACGGGTGCCCTGAGCGGCAAAAGGTGGAAATGAAAGCCAATACGTAGGTACGATACACGCTGTCGATAGTACTAAACTAGCGATGACAGTGCATCAAGTATGAGATGAAAATCGAGCTCATGGCGTTACAGATGGACCACTCATGGACAACCGACTGGGTTCTGACGTGGGAGAATGGTAGACACCCTCACAGCTGATACTGCCCATCATTCATGCAAGATGCCTCAGATGTGTCTTGAAACCTTGGTCGATTATACCTTTAGCTTAATCATCTCTCTAGACCATCTCGTCCTCAGCTGTTGATAACATCGACCGTCTCTGTCTGCACTAGACTCCCGCTATCTGCGGCCCCATGCGATCTAACGAAGCACGACAGAGCCTCTAACCACTTAGCGTCCGAGGCCTTAAGCGACCCAGCTCAACTGGGGCTTGTTTGCATAGCGTTAGGGCCACCGCAAAAAGCAACCATTAGTCTCTTACTCTGAACTCCAACCGCGCAGCGCCACATCCCCCAGCTGTTGGAGATCCAAGGTAGAGGAGGTAAGGTAGTGAGTGAGTGAGTGAGTGAGTGAGTGAGTGAGTGAGTGAGTGAGTGAGTGAGTGATCTGGTAGGTCATACAGTACTGTACATACTGGCACTACATAGTACTCCGTACATGCAGAGTACAGGCGAGACAACAACACTCGAATGCAGTTTCACATAGCTCGAACTTCATCACCAGCTATTCATTCCCTGGCATCAGTTGGCATATATACCAGACCTACCTACAACAAGACATCGACAACGTATACCACATCATACCCACCTAGGTAAGTGCCTGTCGATACCCACAGATACCTACTTACCTAGGGATGGATGGTTAAACCTCTTGATGGGTTTGCTCGCCTTCCTGAAGTGTCCTTCTGCATTATTAGACCTACATTCCCCCTTTGGGCATTCTCTACATGAGCTTAACAAACAATATCACTTCCTCGGTGCTCAGCGGCAGCCTGTTCAGGTGCGGGCTAAATAGGAACTCACAAACAACGGTGATCATCCTCCATAAGATCGACCCTGATCAGACGGGTCTACAATCTATCTCATGTCAGCCCGTTTTAAAAATAGGCGATGTCTTAGAGACAGGGAGCTAATCAAATCATTGACCAGTCAAGGCATTGCTTCGACTTCTTGCAAATGTATTCACCTGGTGCATGTCCGTTTCCATCTGCAAATTCCATCCTTACCTACGGATTATATCATACTGTCTTCTCTGCATCATAGTAGCAGTATTACGGGGAAGTCTGATCATATCTGCTGTGTAACAATCGATACCCTCTTGTTAATCCCAGAGTTTGTCAAATCTATGTAGAGACACTTCCTGACAACTGACGCCGTACGTACCAGTATGCTGTTGAGCCAGGGTTCCCTGAAACTGACACAACGGCGTTTTTTCCATCGTTAACTATACGCTGCCAAGCCGGAGCGTATAATGTCTGCCACTGTCTTCAGCCAAGGAGATCTTTCCTCAATTCCGAGAAACTCATTGGAATGTTGGATTGGTCTTGGGGGGGCTTCTTACCGCCCTTACAAACTCAGGGGCATGCAGAGTGACTCCTGATGGCTAAATCAACAATTCTGTATCTAAATTTGATCGGGATAGACTGGACTGGACGAGGTTGTCACTCAGAAACAATGTCTTCTGGTGTTTTCGGCAAATTTAACAAGATCCGCTTCCTGGCGCTCTACGCGAGTGGGAGGGAAACGGACAAGGAATAATTGTCCCCCGCGGTTCGGTACAGTCCCACAACGAGTGAGCGACCTGAAACATCGCCGGGATGTCGACAACGACTTCCATCGCAACCCCGTTTCTTGAGTAACTATCCCAGCACCCTTTTCACCTTTTCCCGACCATCTCCAACAAGACATGGGCTCGCAAGAATCGAATAGGTCCTGGCCCGACTAGGAAAAGACTAGTTGTCAGCTCTTCTATGTATGTATGGGTATGTTCTCTATCTTTGTCACTCGAGCCATCAATCGTTGGAGCTGCAAGCTACTGCAGGTGCTGTTTCAGGACAAGCTGAGATCAACCGTTCTGGCCAACCCCTCGTTCATCGTGTCAAGCAGCGTGGCAGTCTTGATCTGACAGCTGCTACGCAGTCAACCGTTTCGGCCGAAAGATTTAGGTCGAGTTCCAGACCCTATTGCCCTACCTACTGGATACATCGATGACAAGCATGTCGACTGGAAGCGAGACGGTGAAAGCTTTCAGTTCCGGTTAGTCGTGCGTCAAGCTAGATGCATCTGGGTATCGCAGGTCGGCGTTGTCTTCGAGATACTGCATCCATTTCTTCAAGAAGCTGCTTCCCCTGTGAAACAGGCACGTTAATAATGTCTCGTCTCAGGTGAATGGTTGGAACAATCTGCGCAGCACTTGTCAAACCAGCGGCTGCAGCTTCGAGGCCCAGGTCCCCATCCCAAGTGCACTGCATCATCGCTTACCTCTGAACTGTCTCCGAGTCTCCAATAACCGTCAAAGAACGCTTCGGGCGTGTCATTGCGACTAAGTACACGTGTATTAGCCAACCCAATCTTTTGATGTCCGGATGGCCCGAGTCATGACGGTAAGCATCGGGATGTCACCTCACCATTGAGACGGCGCTTCTCGCCGAGGAATCCAACCTCGCCCTCAGAGTTGCTCCGAACGAGGCTCACGATTACAGCCTCTTTTTCGCGACCTTGAAAACCATCAACACTACCGAGCTCGATGCCCGGGAATTTGTCTTTCAGCGGAGCTAGTATGGCGAGCTTATAGTCCGCTCACAGTCAGTATACGTCTCACTCTACGTTTTGGGACGCACCTGGGCATTGTAAGGTGTCACGACGGCAATGTCTTCTGGGCGGACCCCAGCACCCACGAGTTGCCTCACGTGCTGTTGTACAAGAGCAGCCTCCATCTCGTTGCTCTTGCTGTCACCATGTAAACCTGCTCTGCCCTTTCTAGGAGTCTCCTTGTCGTCTTCCTCGTTCTTTTCGGGAAAGTCACCTCCCTGTGTGTCTATGAAGATGACAGGCTCATTGGTGTCCTCATTGTCCTGGACCTCATATTCAAGGTCTTTCAGGAGGCGATGTTTCACCACATCAGCAGCGATCAACTTAGAGTCGTATAATTCATCAGAAGGGAACCGCATAATACTCTCGTGCATTCGATACTGTGTGGTTAGCATGCGTTTGATGGAGGGCCCATGCAATGCCAGCAGTCTGTCAAACAAGGTGATCTCAAGCGTGGTGCCCTTTGTGACCGTTCCGCCATCCTTGACTGGCGCCTTAACCTTTGCATTGCTTGATTTGATGGTTGGCGGGAGCTGCAGATGGTCACCGGCACAGACAACCTTGTTGGCAGATACGAGAGGGGCCCAACACTGGGCTTCGAGGGCTTGGCTGGCCTCATCGATAATAACAACATCAAACTCATCGTTCCGCAACTGATAGCCTCCTGCCCCGTGCAGTGTTGCAAGAACGACCTTGCTGCCGCCAATCAGTGTACTGACACAGCGACGTTCTCGTTCACGAAACTCTTTTCTCAGTTCTTTGAGGTCAGTGTAGATTGCTTTGCGCTCCTTGCCGCTTTTCGTCTTCTTGATTGAGGCCTGCTTGGTGTCCATTTCTGTCCTGATATCTTTCACAATAGCACCCGCTTCTGATGTTTGCGTGAGTACGTCGAGTGAGTGGTCAACCACAGAGGGCAGCAAACGAGCGGGATGGCCCAGACGAAGGATCGGGATCTTGTGAGGAGCTAGTCTCTCGACGATGTTGTCAACAGAAATGTTGGAAGGCCCGCAGACAAGAATTCTTTGACCCAATTTGATCATCTGGAGAATCAGCTCGATTAGAGTATGAGTTTTGCCAGTCTACGCATAAACACGTGAGCAAGTGTTTTGCACTCTAGTATGAGTAAGTCACTCACTCCCGGAGGCCCATGAATCAATGCGACTTCTCGAGACAGCAAAGCGAACCGAATTGCATTCTTTTGTGAGTCGTTGAGCGTTGGATCAAACCACTCGAGATTGCCCACGGTTTCATCTTTAGATAAATCTTCGGAAACTGGCGATGGGCTGGATAAGCCGAAGAGTACTCTGATGAAACTAGAATATTCCGACTCTTGCATCTTGTTTAGCTTCTCCATCGCCCAGTTCATTCTTCAACCGGGATGGTTAATTGTGTGATCGCCGTCCGTTATCAAGGTGATGGCTCAACATACCTCTTGTATGTCACTTCGTCTGCCAATTTGACAGCCCATACTCTGCCCAGGAAGCCAACTTCTTCCCTCCCCTCATCGATCGCAACAGCAATCCATCCTCTGCTCACTCTGGTAACAACACCTCTCGCCCCCTTCTTCTCCAGGTCTTTTACTTCACGCTTTTTGGCGCTTCCCGCCGGCTGCTCAGCGACAAGAACAATGTCTCCAGTGCGCAAGCCATGCTCAGGTAGCTCGTCAGGTGAGCCCGTGGCGGCATCCGGAGAGAGCTCAAGAACTGTTCGGCCCCCAAGACCCGTACGCTGGCCCGAGACAACGAGGTTTATAAGAGCAAGGCCAGCTCGTTGAAGGGCTGTCGGGCTGTGGTTGGAGATGAGTGTGCTTGTCTCGTTGATCTCTGTCTGAAGTTCTTGTTCAAGAAGGGCGAGTTGCGTGGTTGCAAAGGCAGGAATATCGACTGGCTCTCTTTTGACAGCCATTGTTACTGACCTTTTGTATTGTTGCAGATGTAAGTGCAAGAGCAGAATACGAGGTTGGGTGGGATTGGATGTTTGGTGGGGGGCTTCCATGGTTAGACCCCGCCATAACCCGCTCTGACGTTGTCTGACCTCAACTTCCATAGGTACCTCAGCAGCTACTTCAGGCGAAGTCATGATGCTTCCTAGGTACCTTACCTATCATGAGAGCTCAGACGTACCCAATTACCTAGGTACATATTAAGTTAAAATGACAGTAATTGGTGTCTCTCACTTCAGTCATTTGTATATACGCCAGCCTATAAGATCATACGAACAGAGCTCAGCATTCAAATACTCCTAATGGTATCAAGTCATGATGTAAACCCCATAAATGCGCCGCGTCAAAAGCAAACCACTTGCGATAAGCAGAAACATTATCGCCCCAGCGCGAACAATGCAATACTAGAAGTGACCTTGAGTCATGTCAGAGTATACTACGAGTCGTCGAGTAGAAAGATCATAGCTCATGCTCAGACGGGTGGATAGCAATGACGACCACAAGAGAAACAACCATGATGGCCAAAGCGACAAAGGCAACAATCATGATTGTACCACGACTAGCGGGAAACTTTCCCTGCATGACCCAGTGCTGAGATTGAAAATAGCGCTTGTAGCCAAGGAAGAGAATCAGGATACTGATACCGAGGAACGTGGTGCCAAGCGGCTTGCCCATATGTCGTAGCGTCTGGGTGTTGCTCCGAGAGTTATTGCCATGCTCGCTTTCGAGAGACGTGTTGAGACGAAAAAGCTGTGTCACTGCTATCCCTATGGATGCAAAACTGAGAGATGTGCGTAGCCATGCCAAAAATGTTCGTTCTTGGACGTTGTTAGATTGGCAACACGAAGTACCATGGGTCAAGCTTACCAATGGCGAGGTGATCTCGGGCAACGCTGCCTTTGTTCTCCAGCTCTATCGACTGAAACTTCTCTGCCTGTGTTTGCCACCACGACGTATTCCCACTCTCCGAATTGGCTTGTCGAGTCGTCTCCAGGTTCTGGGCAGCGCCATTGTTTTGTTGGGAAGATGGTCGCTGGCGCAAGGATGGTTTACGGATCTGTGGGGCCGAGGTCGCAGTACTTGTAACATTGAGCGAGTTGTAATTGAGAGGCGGCGTATGAGATATGAACCCAGTAGCCTCGTCGGCGCTGCTGTCCTCGTTGACAGGGCTCGGCTTGAGCGACGAGTTGGGCGGGAGGATGGGACTGCCGGCGGCCCGGGGTGAGAGATGGGTAGGAGAAGGACCAGCCATTGATTCGGCGCGTTCACGAGCGTTCTGTTACGAAGAAAAGCCGTTCTTATTAGCGCTCACCCAACATTGAGGTACTGTACTCAGGGGAGGGATACTGAGAAGAAGCGAGAGAAGAATAATGAGGAGGAGGAGAGCCAGAAGAGCACGCGAGATTCGGATGATCTTTCGGAGGCTAAGGTCTGGATGTCGAACAGGGGGCCGGCAGTTTCCCAGACGCCACAAAGACCATCTCCGTACGGGCGGCGAGATAGATAGTCGACCACATGCATGTTGATATCTACCAGGACCGGCACCAGCCTGAAGTGCTATCGGGCTTGCAAGGAATAGCTGCCAGCCCCGCATGGCATGCAAAGAACAGAACATCATAAGAACATGGCTGTATCGCACACTGTCTCATGAATCACCCGTGCCGTGTCTCACTCACTCGCTCACTTTACAAGAACGGGAGGATACACACCTCAAGTATCTCATTTATGCGCACATTTGAAGATGAATGCCGACCTAGTTGAAACCCGACACTGGACGCTCGTGGGGCGGGGCCATTCGCACTTGAATCTGCATTGGCATCTGCCTCTAGAGCATTCTCAGCCATCACGATATCAGCACGATTGATTGATTGGCGAGAGTCAAGGGGCCTGGTGAGAATAGAACGCGGCTATACTCCGTACTGTACTGCGATATAGCGTTAGGAACAGACGGAACAGTTCTAGTACGATATGGCGAGCGAACAAGCGAGCGAGCGTGTTTTCCAACGCTGACAAGGTTATTGTAAAGTCAAAGAACATTTGAGGTCAAGACAAGCTTAGTCCAAGGCCCCAAGGTAGGTAGTACCCAACTACCGTAGCCTCCTACAGTGGGGTTGTCGCCTGTGACAGGCGCTCCGCACTCTTCAGCGGCTGAAGCATCTGCATCTCCATTGGATGACACCAAATTAAGCAGAAGCACGTCATGGTGCTAGGGAAGCAGAATGACGATGGTTAGACCAAAGCTATCGAGGTCTGAATACCTTCACCTTGGCATATCTGAGCAATCCTTGATAGCCTATGTTCTTCTTAGCTGTGAAATTATCATGGATCGGAGTCTTTTGCGAATCCTCCAACAGAAACGTTGATCAGAAGACACCTTACCTAGGTTGCACCGTCATATGATCATTCTATGGTGGGCGCATTGTGACGAGTTGCAAGACTCCCAAGAAGAGTTCATCTTATATCCGCTGATACTTACTACTGCGATTTATCGTCTTCCTTGTCTTATGTATGAAGATAAACGGGGGCAGTTCATCAAAAGGTTATTCTTCTGGATGCTCTATTCTACCTCGTGATATTAAACATGGTGTTGCCTGTGTCACCAACGATCCCTTAGAGTCTTTGAAAATGCCTTACAGCCCCCGTTCATTCGATACCTTCATCAGTTAACCAAGAAGGTTTCGTGCTTCATGCCTGGAACACACTCCCATAGGAAGCCAAATCATAGTGGTTCTTATATCTCCGAGTCCTGTTCTATAAATTTTCCCTTCTTCGGGTCTATGAAACCGCAAACTCCGGATTCCCTACTAAACACCGGGCCTGGCTCTCAACTGCCGGCGTTTCGCATCCGAATCGTTTTCCTATTTAGGAAACCAGTCCAATGCTCCACTGGCTGACTCTGCTACCTCGCCGGTTTAATTCCGGAATCTGCTCTTACAGCCGTGTGAGAGAACCACGATGGCATCATGGAGAAGCAATAGAGTTGGAAAAAAAGTGGTGTATTCTAAGAGAAGTAAAACATTTAAATACAGAGGTTAGGTAGCTCGAGAGACATTGTTTCCTCATCCTATTACTTCGCATCACACTGCTCCAAACAACTTCCTCTCCAACAGATAGCTATCTTCATCTTCTCCATATACATTACTTCCACTTCCATTAAACTCATCATGGTTCACCAAATTCTCGGCAAGCAGGTTGGCCTTATCGGCTTTGGTCTTATGGGTACTCATCCCCCTTGATGAACCACAACTTCTCATTGTTACTATGCTAACCCCTCCCAAGGCCTGACTGCGCGTCCTCTACCTGACGAGGACGCTTTCGCCGCCATTCGCACCGCCCTCGACTCGGGTTGTAACTGGCTCAACGGCGGAGAGTTCTATGGACCGCCAGATGCAAACTCACTAGCTCTCATGCGCCGATACCTTGAAAAGTATCCAGAAGATGCTGATCGGATTGTTCTCACCATCAAGGGAGGCCTGGGCCCTAACTACGTTCCTCTCGGGACCAAGGAGAATATTCGCCGCAGTATCGACGGTTGCCTCGAAACTTTGGGTCCTGTTGGTCGGATAGCTTCCTTCGAAATTGGCCGTAAGGACCCCAATGTTGACTACGAAGAAGACACTCTGGCAGCAATCAGCGAGTATGTCAAGGATGGCAAAATCGACGGCATCTCGTGTAGCGAGCTCAACGCCAACACACTCCGAAGTGCCGCAGAGAAGTTCAAGATTACTGCACTCGAAATTGAGCTTTCCCTATTCACCACGGACCCCCTGACCAACGGCCTCCTCGAGGCTTGCGGCGAACTTGACATCCCGGTTCTTGCTTATTGTAAGTGCTCTGCTCCAACATTCCAGGAGGTGGGTGACATGACCACTGACAGAGAATTCTAGCACCGCTCGGACGAGGTTTCCTCGGAGGTCAGATCAAGTCTGTTGAGGATCTTCCAGCGAATGACATGCGTGCCAAGATCCACCCACGCTGGCAAGGCGATAACTTCCGCAAGAATGTCCAGCTGGTTGATGATATTGAAGCCCTTGCAAAGAAGAAGGGATGCACAGTGAGCCAGATCGCCATCAACTGGCTCTTATCACTCTCTCGTCGCCCAGGGATGCCTACGATCGTGCCCATCCCTGGCTCTACCAAGCCCGACCGTATCCGTGAGAACGCGACAATCATCGATCTTACAGAGGAGGACTTGCGCGATATCGACAGGTTACTTGCATCTTTTACGCCTGCCGGTGACAGATATCCGCCTCAACACATGAAATACGTCAGTGCTTAGGAATAAATATTGCGGGATAGGATTATGTTGCAAATTGGAGGCGACATCGGGTAGTATTGGCTGTGCATTTTGTAAACCAGTTAAACGTCCTCGTTTCAGCTTGCTAGGCAAGGAGCTGCCTCTGAGACTTGGCTTGGCCCGACATCTTGGCCTATTGTACAAGTTTGGTTGTGGACAAGAGGGTATTGGGCATAGAAGACGTTTGAAAGTTATAAATTTTTGTAAATGCATTCATACAATCAGTAATGGAGTCATGGTCCTCGTATGAAGGTCGTTTCGAACAAGCCCACAATAGCAACACTTTGTCCATCAGACGACCATATTGACCGGCACGGGATAAGTGCCATTTCGCATTTATCTCCCGGGTTGTTCCAGATGGAAACAATTTGAGACGCATCTGCATACACCAAAGTCAATTTGGTTTGTACCGTTTCTGGCCCATGAGGGTGGAGTTGATGAAGTGATTCCTGCATGATTTGGCACATATCGATCTTCAAGATGTCCAGGGAAGCAGAATGAGGCCTATCAGCATGATAATATGCTGCCGTACTGTAGATTACAGTGGCACTGGTGGTTGTGACGACTGAATGCCATGTTTTCCAGCCTGGAAGCGTGAGCTCAGGCAAGGAACACATCGAAAACCTCGACTCTTCGATTTTTGAAAGACCGTTGTGAGCGTGCCACTCCACAGCAGCCTGCCGTGGCAGCTCTTCCACTTCAACAGCAAACATAGGCGGGATACAAGTCTCAGGCTCATTCTGTTGACGTAGAGTCAGTGCCTCCCAGTCCGGAAGGGTCTTTCGGGCTGCCATGTCATCGTTACCAAGCGACATGTAAGCAGGATTGTATTTCAAGTCCCAAAGATCAGGACCGCTATCACCTTCCACCTCTTCATCCGGAGATCCATGTGCTTGTTTCCAAGCATACCCTGCCAGCTGGGCGCTGCGCTGGATTTCGGACGAGTTGGCACGGGGAAAGTAAGCAACTGAGCTTGTCCACCACTGAATCTTCATCTCCTGACCAACTCGCCACAAATGTTGTAGAGATAGGACAATTTGAAGCTCATGTGACTTCTCAGGCGTGGAAGGGAGGACCATTGTTGCTGGAATCAGGGGTATTTGACCGGCAATGGAGATGCACCGAAGACCTGTAGGCTGGCCTTGAGCTGTCACGGGCACGTCTATCGCCTGACTGTAGGGGCCGATGTTTGCAGGTGCCCAGTATGACCTAGACTGGACATGGAGACCATTGCGGTCCTGTGTCGCTCTAGGTGTAGGAGCAGCTAAGGAGATGGCAATATTCACACCAGCCGGTAGGAGATCACCACACGAAATGGTCACTCTCGACGGTGGGTTTGGCTTGGTGAATATCTTGCCGTACTCGCCATTAACCTTAGGAAAGTCTGACATACGCCTTAAGATGACGATGGTACTTGTGATCTGAGAGAGTTGAACACCGGCCCCTGCCGCCAAATCTCTGATCTTTTCTACGACCTGGGTGGTTTCATTTTGTATCGGCATTTCACCCAACCCCAGGTCTGGAAGTACGGACCAACGCAGAACCTCGCTATCAGCAGTGAAGGTTCCTGCATCTTGGGGTAGTGACGTTAAACTCCTTGAAATAGTAGAAGCCTTTGCGGCCTTCAACGCATTCATGGGTTGCGGCAGGTCGTCAAATACAGTCTTGAAGTGAGGATCGAGGAGATTAGGGATCCGAGCTGCTGGTTTAGCTGCAGCATCATGCTTGTCTTCTAAACACGCACCACCCAACATAAGCCATGAGCAACCACCTCCTTCACGCACTATCCTACGCCGTTGTTCCGGGACAACAATTCTCTTCTTGAACACGGAAGATGGGCCATCCAGGACGAGTGTCTCGAATTCACCACCTTCTCCTAGGGCGGCCGCACCTTGAGCTGAGCCAAACTTGCGTAATGCATTCTGGACACGACTCGAGCCTGCTTCGCTTGACACATGTTCCCAGAGATGGTTCTCGTCTAGTCCAGCGCTGGCAACTTTGATGATCCGTGCCTCTAGCCCAACATTAGCCATATCGATCAACAACTGGGTATCGGCTGAGATGGCTGCGGATGGGGGTGGTAAGACTGGATACTGCCATAAGTAGGCCAGGGGCACGAGACCTAGGCGCAGTGCAATTGACTCAACACGGGTGCGCTGGTAGGTGGAGAGGATGGCACCGGCGCATACAGCATTCGCCTCTGGATGGCGGGCGATGATGGACTGTAACAAGGGAAGCATGGACTCCGTCTCGTCACTGTCCTGGACCTCGCCCTGGGCATTAGCAGCCGCGGCATCGTAGTCCCTCTCATGGCGAACCGCACGTCCAGTGATGGGTAGCCGATATAACGGTAGGCCAGTTGCATCGGCATACAGGGGGAGGACTTCGTGCCCGACTGTTTGGTACATGAAACTATTGAGGTCCGTGTCGGAAGATTCCCCGGAGCCCTGGGCTGCCCGAAGGCTGTTATGATCCCATGTGGCAGGATCAGGCGGCTGGGGTGTCCAGGTACCCGGATCGATGCGCTGGAAGCCCACGGGAGATGGGAGATCCGAAGGTGTCTGGAGATTGGTTTCTGGCTCAGCCTTGGTGGCGTCTCCCTGGCGGGACGGTGATTGCCCGCCTGAAATAGCAGGACTTGAGTCCGGTGCTGGTCCTGGGAACAGGTTTGCAAGAGCCACGATCTGATGGCCGTGCTCGATACAGTGGATCAGGCTGAAGAAGCTATCTTTGCCTCCCGAGATAAGAGCAATGACATTGAGCTTTTCAGAAGACATGGTTGATAGAACAGTGGCCGTTGACCAGGCACTGCTCTGCGGGAGTTGTACCCAGTCAGGCAGGCAGGCGGCTAACTTAGAGGCTGGGAAATGAGAACTGAAGGATATTTCTAGCTGTAATTTAGCAGTTATTCTAAAGACGGGGTGAATGGCTTGAAGAAAGCCTCTGGCGTACTTTTAATTTGGAGCGGACATTTGATGTGGTGTACGGAGTAGTGTAGCGGAGTTTGGTGGTGAATTGGGATGAGGTGTGTGGTGTAAGAGAAGATATTGATAGCGCCAAGCTAATTCATTTGGTGGTAGATGTTTTAGGCTGGTTTCTCTGTGGCCCCTCGGGGGGCAAGAAAACAGCAAACCTTACTGGAGAGTATCAAAATAAACTCAGTAAAGGCCATCCTAAGCTTAGGCTATATCACCTAAGTCTTTTTGTCATTTAGGATCGAGGTCCTGTGTTTTCTTTCCTCCCCTAGTGTGGGCCTCATGGGTATCCCCTAAGCTTGACTACATCTAAGTAAGCTAATAAGGTACCACTTTAGGAATTTTGCGATACTGAAGCTTTTGTTAGCCTGTGAGCGACTACTCCATGAAAGGCATGAGAAACTCAGTTCACCGTGTTTCATCTTGGGTTTGGCTGAACTAAAACGAAATAAACAAGTGCCCGGCTGTGATCTAGCAGGCCCTCTCGGATGAACCAACAATGCTCTGTAGTCTACCAAGCCAAGAGCTTATCTTTTCCCCGAGACTTTGACTTGACCAGCCGAATCCAATGCCAATATTTGGAGAGGAAAGGCGTCAAATTGTCAATATCAGCCGGGAGAATGGCAGCCCAGTGACATTCATCCCATGTGCACAGTCATTTCCTCGCCTCTATCTCATCTCCGCCTCAGGCTCAGGGTCCTCTTTGTATTCGATCTAGTGACGGGGAGTCAACCCGGCAATGAAGATCACCCGAAGACGGTACGAGATGGCAATCCAGAGTCTCTGGTACAGCACCAAGTTTTAGGTAAACGATACGGATCCCATGTACTCCGTACATCACCTACTCGCGTCACGTCGCGAGTAAGGTAATCAATCAGTCCCACCTATACACTGCGCTATCCTGAGATTTTCAACACCAACACCGGCGCCAACACGGACAGCACGGACAGGGTCTTCGTCCCTGAGCGCCCAAGGCGCCACACGAGATCGCCGATCCGGACTGGACTTTTCTATTCCGACCTAGCCTCGACTGAAAGGTCCGTCGACAAATGGGGAACAGACGACAGCGAGGCAGGTAGGTCGCCAGCCAGTTAGAGATATAGTAGTTACACCAAGAAATCCCGCGGGAGGGCACCATGGCCAAGCTGTTGACGCATCTATGGCTCAGTCAGGTTTCACACAGTTCTCAGTTGAGGGCTCTGAGGATCAACGTATCAAGTAGCAATAATGAGAAGTTATGTCAAGTTGAGCAAGTCATTATTAGGTACTGTCAAGCTGCTAATCAAGGATGGCATCACAGGCAAGTTGAACCAGATTTATGGCAACAATGTGGAAATTGTTGATCAATAGACCAAACTTCTAAATTGTACATGAATTGTTGTGAGGATGAGCGTCTGTCATTGACTGTGACCGGCACACTCCTGTACTCGACATCTCTAAATCTCCAGCAACAGGCAAACGACAGACAAAGAATCAGAGTAAACACAAGACTATGGAAGAAGAAAAAAGACAGAAGCCTTCACCTTCATCTCCCACTGCTCTCAAGTGATACCGTCGTCCCGGCGAGCTTTCAGTTCCAGCTTCCAGCCGCACAGGATGATTACAACGAGTGTAAAGAACGGCAAGCCGCCAAGTTTTTTTTATGGTGGTCGTTGTCGTTGGCAAACTCATCCATCACCATTCTGATGTGAAGTGAGGAGCCGCTCCCAAATGTTCTTAAAACCAAATAATTTTTCCCCTCTCGCGCCAGTTGTGTCCATTGAATAAAGTCACCAGAAACCCAAGCTTAACCAGCTGTATCGCACGGCTGACCTTGGCGATGCATTGCAATTCTGCAACAAAAACAAGAAACCGATGAAATCAAATGTCCTCCCTATTGTCGTGATGCGTAGTGAGGCACTGTGGATATTGTTGATACAGGTATAGTGACGATGTGTAAATGCATTCATTATCGCTTGCACTCTTTTGTGTGTGAAGACTCCCTTTTACCCAAGGTTGTAACCTAAA